TGAGTGTGTATAGTTTCATTATTATAAATTGCCAAAAGGAAAAAGACATCCTGTGTCAGTCTAGTCTGATCTAGGTCATATACATGTATCAAACATATTGAGGTATATATATATATATATATATATATGGATATTAATTATTATTAAGAAATTATTAAGATCTAATTTACTGGAATGTAGTGTGTGTGTGTGTGTGTGTGTGTTGACCTGAAAATTCTCAAAATGAAGCGAAAAAAAGTAGAGAAATACACAAAGTTTGTGTTTATATTTCTAAATGAATCACTGAAGACATAAGACTTTGTTAAATTAACACTAATAGTTACTGGAGTGATTGTGTCCGCAGGTTACCCATAAATCCATTTTTGGTGTATTTTGAACAAAAACAATATCCTTACATGTGTCATCAATTTAATGTAATGAAGTTTTTTGTGAATATACACTAACCATGAAGTCCTTCATTTGTAAACCATATTTTTCTAGCATATATACCTAAGTGTGTATGTCTATACATATATGGGTTTATTATAAAGTTACTTGGATTACTTTACCACCAATAACTCAAGAACTGATCATCAAAGAGCCATTTGGTAATGATGGATAGAAAATTCTCATGTAGAGGTGCTGTAGTGCAAGTTTTATACCATGGAAATGGTATCAAGTTTTTAGAAACAGCCAGGCATGGTCTGGTGGTTATGGCACTCTACTCGTCATCTGGAGATTATGGGTTCGAATCCCTGTCACTGAACATGCTCACCCTTTCAGCTTTGAGGGCATTATGATATGATGGTCAATCCCATCATTCATTGGTAAAATAATAGCCCAACTGTTGGCAGTGACTGGTTGACTATGTTAATTTGTATGTTGATTGACTTGCTGTAAAAGTTAAGCTCAGTGTTATTTAACTTCATTTTTTGTTAGAAAAACTATACTTTTATACTAGAAATAAATTTTCTTCAGAAAGTTGAAACCATTAGACATAGGGAACAAAATTAAAAAAAAAAGTTAAGATTTTCTTTCTGAAACATTATTCGGTTGTCTTCAAGATTATCAGGTTTTTCAGAGAGGGCTCACAACCACCCCTGTGGTTATTAATCAGATGGGAGAACATAATTAGAAGGAACTTCTGTTTATTAATAGAGGCAGTAACCATGACGATTAAAACACAAAAATACTCTATTATAGTTTTTGATAGTAGTTGAAGCTGTGATAAATATATTAGGACTTTTCTAACAACTATGTCTACTTTTTTTTGTACCCTGGTTCTGTTCACCTGGTTGTGCTTTGCTTATTTTGTTTCTTATTTCATAATACATGTTGCTATTTCAAATTATCATTTAACATTCATATTTTATAATCAAACCATATAATTGGGATAAGATTGACATTTATACACATACAATATTTTTCCAAACATTATAGATGTGTTTTCCATGTTTTGTTATGAAATTACTTTGAAAAGCAAGCAGC